CAGCGACAAAAATCATTGGAATAAATTATAGTACTAGCTATAGTTACAACAAACTTAGTTTTTTTTTATAATGTTTCTTCCGTTGTAAAAATCAGGGACATGGTCCTTTATTATTTGAGTGAAGAAAAGTATAATAAATGGGATTGAAATTGAATCCCAGTGAAAGATTGGTATGTACAAAAAATTGTGAAAATGTTCCATACCCCGGGTTTGGGGCTAAGAAGTATGTGGCTGTCGTCCTCCTTGGTTACATCAGTATTATAGTAGTATTTACGATTTGATTAATGTACACAAGTAAAGCTCAAAGTGCCATTCGATAAATAGGAAGAGGATAAAAAATAAGAAACTATCCACAGCTTTTTTAAATTTATGTAAAGTCGGTTTAATTTTCCCGCCTTTTTCTGTCATGTGTTGTTACTGGGCCACATATCACATTAAATTACTTCATACATGAGTGTGAAATGTAGAAAAAGTATAGAGAACCGATATTTGCGTAATATGGATGATCCATAGTGTACTATGGTCTTATCCATTGTTTTCTGCGTCTGGCTTGACTCAATGATTCAGTTTTTGGAAGTATAGTCAAAGCGACTTTTAATTCTGTGTCTGAGAACTTCCTTACCCAATCGTTCATGCTTTTATAAAGGGTCATATCAAAATTTTCTCATTTAGGCCCGCATCCGCGCTGCTACACGCACACTAGTCATGATCGTGTTCACTTACTTGATCAGCAATCTGCTGTCGGTTATAATCACTATTTGGGAATATCTCGATGCGGCGAGTCTATTCGATAAGTGAGTTTTCTTTTTCAACTTCACTTCTAGCCCCATACGACCTAAACGGCTACTATAGGTATCTCTCATTCTATGTGATGTCAGTGGATGCGATCTCATTACTGACAATTGTTGCCTCAGTTCTTCGTCTTCCAATTTACATCACTTGTCAACCGTTACTCAGGAAGGAGATGTTCCAGTTCATTTGTGAGTTTTTTTTCAAAATTCTCTGGTTAAGTGTCTGAGGGGACCAGTTAACGCTGTTCTTTTTCAGCTCAACTTTGGACCCATAAACGCATGTCAAGAAGGATGACACTAATTGAAAATTCCCAGCTAACAGCTGAATCAATTGTGAACGTTGATCGTGAATCACCCAGTTTTGGGAAGG